GTTTTCTATGCATAACTTAGGGCCGGTTTCACCAACAGCCGAATAAAGTTGAGAGTAGTTATCTGAGAGTAAGCATTTACTCTAAGATAGTAACTCTCGAGTAGAATACACATATAAGCGTTTCACCATGCTTCTAGAGGGCTATTTTACTATAGAGTGCATACTCTCCGATTTACTCCGCGAATCAGCTGAACATATAATGTTTGAGGGAGATTCAAGAGGCTGTGACCGAGATGACGCTGGGAACCACTGCGGACCAACGCGAACCTTTGATTAATTCCTTATATTCTATCATTCATTTCAGTTTCGGAGTTCTTGGTGGTGTCTTGGCGTTATTATCTTGTGTGGTGTTATGGGATTTGAGTTAGCGTAGTATATTTCTTAGTTTTTGTATCTTTATTTCTAAATAAATCTTAATTATTCTCTGAAGATGAGTACCTATTTTGTTAGCAATGCAGAAAAATCAAATTTGCCGTTCGTTTGCCGGTGGCGGTGCAAATAAATTTTCTATAACTCGGCAACGAAAATGTTTAGTTTGTCAATTGTTGCTGATCTCGCGTTTTTCTAAATTTTGTTATTATTATTGTTATTATTGTTGTTGTTCGTTTTATTTTTTAAACTTTTATTCACCTTTCAACTATTTGTTGTTAAAATGTTGGAAAGAGATTCTGGAAGTCAAGAAAACGCGCAAATGATCACCCCCATACGTCACATAGTTTTTACTAAATAAATAAATATTTCTTTGTACTTGTAGTCCCTGTATTTATTATTTTTCCTTTTGTATCGTATACGGTACGTACTACATTTTTTTATTACCCACAGGGGTGAAAAAGAAATTTACAAGTTCTCTACAGTTTACAATGTATCTGATGAAGTTAACAGCTGATTTGGTCAAACATAACCTCGTGACAAAATCTCGATCGTCATAATTAAAACCAATCCATTCTCTCCCGCACCCTTTGGCTTCGCACTAGTGGATAATATTCCGAATCATTGCTGGAATCGTCTTCAAATAATATCGAGACATAACAACACTTCGGAGGTACACGCACGTTGAAAACTGAGCTTACTCCGTACTTTACCCGACGGATTGTCGCAGTGTAAATTTACTCTCGAATTTACTCTCGTGTAAGCGATTTACACTCGAGTAAAGTGTTGGTGAAACGCTCCAAGAAGTTACTCTTGAGTAAACATGATTTACACCAGAGTAAACTCTTACTCTTTGTTTAGTAAAACCGTCCCTGAGTCGAATTTAGCCACTGTCTGGACAAGCATTATAGCGGCCAGCTGCTCTGGTCGATAGTTTTCCTTTGTCTCTCCGTTCAATAAGTCCCTCCGATCCTTCCGATTAGGCGAATCCAGTCCCTCCGATCAGGCGGATGCCGTGCAGTAGACTAACAAACGGACCACGAGACGCGCGCGGTCATTTCTTCCCCTTCCTTGCCCTATCCCCGCCCTTTACTGACACACACACACACACACACACACACACACACACACACACACACACACACACACACACACTGCATGCATGTCGGATGACCAATCGGGAGCTTTGGGCTTTAAATGCTTGGCTGTCAGAAGACGCCGCGTCCTAAGGATAGGTGTCTAAGCGTTTTGGTACCTGTGCGTAGGACGCGCCGTCGCCCGGACAGCCAAGTTGTTGACTCCGGCCGCGGAAGCCTACGCTCTCAGCTTTGAGCGGTGCCCCGCTGGTGGGAGACACCTAGAGGAGGAAATCCCACCAGCCGTCATGTTGGTCAGCGCTGGATCTCACGGTCCAGTAGGAGAACACTGCCACCTCTCGTGATAGAAATATGCACTACACGTACGGGAGTAATAAATTGGGACAATGATTCGCCCGGAAACACGAAACATCAACCAATTATTTCTCCGTTTATGCTTTCTGGCAAAATGCTAGCAAAATGGAAGATTTTAGTAGTCATTAATAGTAGTTACAATAAAACAACGCTATTCTACACACACTCTCTTCTCCTTTCCACTGGCCGGAACGAGATTAGTAAGTGCTCTGCAAACCGTTTTGGCCATATACCGATGAAGCTTTGGAGATGCAGCTCTCCAACGAGAATGCTAACAACACGAGTTTAAAGGCACGACTGCAAACCTCGGCGGAAAAGAAAGAACGAGAAGCGTAAAAAAAAATTGCTGCTCAAAGTACACAAAACTGCCGTTGGAAAAATAATAATCAATTGTACCACTATTGTGTAAATAGATTTGAGAATTACTCGAACGAATAAAAGCAGTGGTTATTCAAACCTTCAATGGCGCCTTCTTATTATGAGAAACCAGCAACTTCTTATTATGAGATTAAAGGTTAAAGCTATTATGACTGCATGGGTTCAGTACCGTTGGGAAATGTCCCGCGCCGCCATCGAAGGGTTTGGCGACTACGCAGACCAGAAGAAAGAAAATGCTCGCACGCAATGCGGTGCCGCCGGCGGCGGCGGCGGCGGCGGCGGCGGCCGCCGTAGCGGCGGCATCAGATGGCATGGTGGCGCCGCCTACAACCCAGTGGACGCAGAACACCTCTCCATTTCGTCTGCTGCCGTCGTTCCGATGCCTACTGCGGGACCACACGTTCACAGGCGCATTGCCACATTGGCCGGAAGCAAAGCGGTTCCTGATCGCTATCCCCGACTCCAACCCAACCCACCCACGCTGATGCTCGGCGATCGCGTGCAGGAAGTCCTGAAGGTGTAGTTGAACCGCTACATGCAAATTACGGAGACGTTATTGGACGTTATCGGATAATACGTGTCAGGGTGCGAATGGTTTTCTCCGTTGGGATGTTCAAAAAGTAAACAATAACAGGTGTTATAATTATATGTCCTTTTACTTTCTCCTATAGTTGGAGAGAAAGTTATGTAATGTTGCAAAAACTCTGTCGAGATTTTCACGGAAATACACGATTTTGAGGACACTAAATCTGAAAAAGTGAGATTTTTAATGTGTGTTTGTCTGTCCGTTCATTTTTCCATCCGTCTGTCCTTCCGTCAATTCGTCTGTCCTTCCGTCTGTCTGTCCATCCGTTCGGTGTATGTAAACAACATTAGCAGCTAAACTATGCATAGGATTTTTTTTTGTTGTTGTTGCATAGGAGTCGAAGCTCTGCGGTATTGAAAAATATATACTTTAATTTTTAGGGATACTTCACATAAAGCCCTAGGGGAATTTTCAAAATTTGACATCGTATGTGTTTTGAGATTTTCTGATGATTTCTCATTGTTGACCTGTGTTAGTTATAAAATATGTCAAAATAGTAAAAAAGCGATAAAAATAGTACAACAAAAACAGTATACACTTCATCGCAATATTGTAAGTCACTCAAAATTACACGAAAAGTACACGCATTTTCAAAAAGTACATTTAGCACTATCACTACCAAAAATGTATAGAAAAAAATTGGAATTGTTTTCGAGCTAATCTTGTTTTTGATACTTTTTTACATTTACGCAATACTACATTTACATATTTTACGCAATATTGCGCGAAAACTACTAAAAGTTTTTAAAAAATGTGCATGACCTTAATGATAGTACTAATTACGCACAACAAATTTTTTTTGAAGGAAAACACAATTTTCAATGTAGTTGGAAGAAGTTGCGGAAAAATATTCATACATTTTCAATTTTCGAAAATTTAGAGTTAACACTAAAAAACAGACCCATGCCATTTTTATAAGTGTATTTCACCTAATTCGGACTGACGGACGGACATTTCCCCGCCCAAAATTTTTCAGTAACAACATATTAATTTTAACTTATCACAAAACTTTCATTTTTTCTTATAAAAATTAAAATTGTATTGCAATATGAGCCGAGTTTAGCCTCTATCATTCTACATAATCTGTAATATGTTTGACACATTCAACCAAAACATTTTTAATAAAAAAAGTTCTGCTTTCAAAATTTGCCTCTGGATCCACCCCTGTATATAGATTCTGTGTTATAAAGCACATTAAATGCCACATATTCATAAAACGGTCACTTTTAGTTATATTATTAATTTTATCAAATTTGTATTACTTTTGCCAACCATGACACATTGACAAATAGTTCTTTCAAGTGAGCTAGGCACATGAGGCGGTGGCTTAGACCAGGTGAGCCCAAGTACATTTACCCGAAGGCTGTGGGCATATATTCCTCCATGGTGTGGGTTTGATACTCTCATAAGGCATGAATGTTTTAAGTTATGTTTAGGGCTTTGGGGGGATTTCAAGTCCCTTGTGCATTACATCTTTACTCAAATGCTTCCACAATCTCTTGTCCTGACATGCAGCTGTATGTGCAATCTGTGTATATAATTGAGGATCTGGATCCCTACAGTGAGAACAACTACCCAGATAGGGTCAAGGGATACCAGGGGGAATTTGTAAAGTATAGTACTGAGATAGGCCTTTGCAATATTTAAGAAGCACAAAGAAGCTCTTCACTGTGAATGTTCCCAGAGGAAGAGGGTAGGGTAAAACCAAAAAGCTAGTCCACACTCAAAAGAATTGGGTACCAACTAGTATAAGAAAGTCTGATGCTATATAGCATCCCTATTTCTTTTGGAGACATTTACATCATGCTTTGTTGCTGTAAAGTTTTTTTTATTTTCTATTTTAACTTTACTCATCAAGAAATATATTTTTCAAAAGTGTAGCTACTACTTAGTTTATGGCTGGGTAAGAAAATGAACTATAAAAATTTCTTGCAAAAGTCATACATTTATTGTTGATCACAAGCAAGCTATTCTGCTTTCAAGGATATTGTTTAGATTCAGTTCAGATTAAAAGTTTATGAAGCTTCAGTAACATAGATTTTACAACAGCATTTTTTAACGTATTAAAACTGCTTGCTTTTAACATTGATTTTGTAATAATTTCTTGAATCTATTCTTATGTATAAGCAAGTTGAGTAATACATATATTTTATGGTGCATATATCTCATTTTATGTAGTATATATTATTTGTAATGAAATGTTTATTTCTTTTTAGATGTAAAAGTTTCCAAACAGCGAAACGAGGTGAAATATGCCGTATTCCTGGATGCACAGTGTCACCAAGTGTTCCTGGATCTCCTACTCCTATTCGATTACCACATTTTCAGCCAGAAACCTTTCGGCAGTTCATTATATATGTTTACACAGGAAAGGTAAGGACAGGATAAGAATTTCTCTTAATTTCTTAAAATTAATTGTCTGTTACAAAGAAATTCATGGGATGTATTACTCATTCATAGATTTCACGTATGTGAAATAATATGTTAATTGACAGATCCATAGATTTTTATTGTCAAAATTATGATCCTTTTCACTTGTCTTGAGAACAGATTGATATGTTTTTTTAATTTACATTTTCTGCATTTTTGTTTTAGGGATAAAAATTATATGTAAACTAAAGAATGCTTATTGGCTAGGTTGTCTTATTGTTGCAGTGCAAGAAATGTGACAGGTCTCAAAAATCATCATTTTTGAGTTATGTAAAAATGTTTTGTAAATAGCCTCCTTTTATTAGTAAAAATTTCATAAAGATAGTTTACAAAACAATTGGTTTATAATACATACTTTGTCTATGGACACAAAATAAACACTCAACTCAGATTAAAGTTCTTCTTCAAAAATGACAATTTTAGAGATGTTTTTCGTGCACAGGCAATATATTTCTGAGATCACCCAATGATAAGATCATAAAGTGTAAATAATTTTGACGAGATGAAACATAAGTAATGTTTATATTTCAATAGAAGATGTGCTCAATTTACTATTATATTTCAGATCATTCTTCAAGATAACGGAGTGTTTGAAATGTTGACAGTAGCTCAGGAACTTGGTGTTGATGAATTACGCATAAGTTGTGAAGATCATGTTACATCCACTCTCTCTGTTCTTAACGCATGCACTTTCTTGGCAGCAGCAATGGAAATTCAAGAAAGAGCATCAGGTAAAGTATAAAATACACAATTAAATTTATAGCAGTTATTTCTATTAATGTCTTCTACAGTATATACCAGTTAACATGTAAAATTATGTAGCAAATTTCTTCTTTATTTTTGTTTTTAAAATAAATTTTCGAAATGATTAAAACTAAGCTTTATCATATCAAAGCAAATGCAAGTATGCATTTTTCATGCAGTAAAATATAACGCAATATCTTCAATAAATGATCTACCTTCTTTGGTATCACTTATCTGTTTTAACTGCATTTTATCAAACAATTACCCTCAAATTCAACATTTTATGCCTACTATATATTTTATAAATATTATTATGTTATGTATTGTTATTATTTATGTATTATAATGCGTTTCCAAGTGTAGGAATAGGAATTATATCTACACATTTTATAGTGTAAACCTCAGACAAAATTAATTCGTAATTTATTGAAGATGTTATATAGAAATATTTTTCAGTTGCATTTTCATCAAAAGAAAAAAGAAAATTGAGGGGAATTAACTCTTCATTCTTTACGAAGGTGTGTGTTCGGAATAGTGCGCAGTATGCACCTTATTCTCGTTTCAAGTATTCCGCCGGCAAAACTTACATCTCCTTGTTTCGTTCTTTTGTTTTTAATTGGCTTATACATGTGTGCCAACAAACCATCACAAAAGTGAGAAATCTATTTTCCTTTTTCGCTTAAATGGTTATGAATTTGAATTCGAATATTTAAATGAATCATATATCTATTTTGTATCCATAGAGTATTTCAAGCCGTGTAATAGCTTAAACTTCACTTTAATAATCTTACTTCTTTGCCTCGAAATCACCTGGTGTAGTTGCCAGCCCTGCAAACGTTTGCGTTGCGATGTTGTTTCCTCCATTTCCTTGTTTGCGAAGGAACGCCGGTCTTGTACGTACGAGTGTTTGGAATTTAGAGAAATTCCTGTTTTAAGGATAAGTTTTCTCTGCGAAGGTGATATTAAACGTTCAAAATGTCGTACAAAGGTCCACAAAAAGTTCAGAAGGTTATGGTGCAACCCATTAACCTTATATTTCGATATTTGCAAAATAGATCTCGAGTGCAAGTGTGGTTGTATGAAAACGTTAACCTACGCATCGAAGGCCACATCGTAGGTTTCGACGAATATATGAACTTGGTTTTGGATGATGCAGAGGAGTATCACTCGAAGACGAAATCGCGGAAAACGTTAGGCCGCATAATGATGAAAGGAGATAACATAACATTAATCCAGAACGTGAATCCACAATCCATGAACATGTGAGAAATGTTTGGAAATATTTTTTCATCGGAACTTATATTGGACGTCAGTGTTCGTGCTGAAAGGATAACTTTCAGGAAAAACTATTTCGTTCTTCTGTTTCCAACTTATGGAACAATCTGTAAAAGAATACCCACAATATCAAAAGTGCGAGAACATGCTTGTGTTCATTATGTGTATTGTGTTAATTGTCAATAAGATTATAGATTTAATTTCTTTTCTTAATGGTATGAAGTCGAGCATTTGTGAAATTATATAGAATTATTTTACCACACTGGTTTATTGTAATTTTTTCTTCCAAAATGGTTTCCTGGTTTTCCATAATCCTAGAGTATCCGAGGTCCAAATGTTTAGATAGTATATGGATGTAATGCATGTGGATTAAATGTATGCTTTCATTTTAAAACTAAGAAGATGAAGTGTGAAGGGTATTTTAAAGTTAAGTTCATACCTTAGTAAACACCTCTGAATATTTTTCATATAAGTTAATTTAGGAAAAGGAATAACACAGAATTACCTATATTTAATCATTAATTGTTCCAGGTTAATTACTTAGGGAGAGAAATTTGACTTTCTCAGCATATAATTATTTATTTTCAACATATCTGTGCGTAGTGTTATTTTCTTCATACATGGGATCACAATGTGACTCGGCACATGCTCAAATCTAATTTAACATGTTGATTCATGGTCTAGCAGTACTGATCTATGTCAAGCTAAATGCAGAGAAAAAAAATGTATGACAAGTAAAGATTTGTCATTTTAATTTGCAAGGCACTTTTCTCAATTTTGTAACAGGTGATTGAAAATGTCATTTTTTAGTGATAAAGTATGTGTTATAAAAATGTTTTGTTGGTTTTAGTCAATAAATTTCAATATTGATGTAATTTATTGCTGTATAGTGAACATTTCAGAATCGAGAAACTGTGGCAGCTGGAATTGAAATGATGTATTGGTTGTAGACAAAATTTGCATAATCTTCCAGGCTGTGCTGATGATTTGCCTCAATAACAAGCCCTCCTCTTAATATGAAACGCAATGTATTTTCAAAGTTTTCTTTAAAAGGCACCAATTTGTTTTTGTAGTGTGTGGGTACAATAGTGGTAATATTATTATGGCAATTTTGTTTCCATGAAAGCTATTGAATTTAAAAAAAATATATTTCTTTGAGTTTCTTGGAAAGGTGAAAGAAATAATTAAGCATGTGTATCTTTACAAAACAGTTTCAAAGATTATCTAAACCTTAGCCCCAGAAGAGGATATATATTATGTTCATTAATAAAATTTTTAAACATAATAGACCTGACTTCCTCTTATATTCATAAATTTTATTTTAATCATTGAAACATGAACATAAGTGTCAAGATAAAAGTAGTGTGTTTTAACTGATCCCACATAGTTAATTACTGATGAGATGGCATTTGAATTTGGGTAGATGTGAAAGATATTGATAAGAAAAACATCTTTTGAATACACGTATGCATGATTTCAGGGCAGCTTCTGTTACAAGTGTTAGAAATCAATTCTGAAGAACTTAATTGCCAGTATAACTAACCATAATTGGATTGTTGGTTCATGGAGTTTATCTTTCCTTGATGATTGGTCTTAATGTATTGATTTTGTTCATGTGATTGCCACTAACAAATCTTTTTACAGTTTTTGGTAAAATTCATGTCCTTTATGTAGTTAACTTTATTTTAATAATACTTAATAAAAAAATAACCGTTTTTTGGTGGAGACGGATTCTCATCAATGACTTTTAGTATCTCATTAGTTGAATTTCTCCTAAGATAAGGTATACCTCTTTCTTTCATCAGCATATTGATTGGAATTTTTGGGATCAATCAAATTAAGATATAGTGGGGGAAAAAAGTTTCTAAACAAAACAATATAGTTTGTATCACTTACAGAAAAAAAGTATTAACCTTTTGTAATCAGAATGTTTTGAAGATCATGGTTTTATTTTTTTTCTTTATAATTTTTTTTTTAAGTATGTTTCCTAAGGTAGACACTGGCATACTAAAGGAAAAGCTGTTGGGTATTTTAATGGAAATTTTAAATGGAATCAATGTGTATAAATGGACTTAGAGAACCAAAAATTATTGGGAATTTTTTTGAAGCAAAATTTTTTTAATACGTTTTCTTATGAAATGGTCACACAAAAGTGGTAGGTTATAAACTACTAGCTGTTTAGGTACTTTAATGTGGAGTTCTGGAAAGGTTTTTGTAGTATATGTATTATATCTCTCCAAATATAATTGCAAATATTTTGCACGACTTAGATGCACTCTCATTACAAGATTACAGTGTTAACAGTTCTAATTCCATATACATTATGAAAGTATAGACTTACTCAAAAAATTCAATGACACCTTCCAATGTAGAATGCAGATACTTCTTCATCCAACCAAAATTATCTCATTAGTATGAAAGTAAAACACACTTTAGTCCAAAAACCTTATTTTGAGATAAATAAATTTGAAGATTCTCTTAAATTTGTCTACTTGATATCTTTTTGCTAGATATGAGGCAAAGTCAAGTTTATTTTTACACACACGTATTGTTTGTAAGGTTCAAGAAGGAAAAAAACAGGTTCGAATTTCAGGGTATTTTTCCTGAACGTTTTCACTGTCCTGTTACATGCTAGTGAACATAGTAGGTTTCACTCGTGTACTGATATCCTGTAATTTTGTTCAGAAAACTATTATGCTCTTTGAGGAATAGGTAAGTTATTAAAAGAGAAAAGGAATCAACATTAAGATTTTGGCGAATTATATAATATAAAAAAATATTTACTTTCAAACTAGACATGCTTTTTGAAAGCAGTAAAGTTTTAATCGTCTTTTCAGGTAAGACCTATTATAGTAAGTTGTCTACGACTCTTCGTAAATGCCCAATATAATGAAGAAATTCTTAAATTATAAATAGAAAATTTTATTCACAGATTTGATAAATCCCATAAAAATGAACTATTACTCTTGATAAATGAATATTTTAAAATCCTTAGAAATGCACATGATTGAATAACACAAATACATTTAAGTATTCTTTAATAGTATTCATAAATTACTGACATTCTCTTTTTAAATGCCATGATGCTAAAATTCAATTTGAAGAAGAGAGGGAAAAAATCAAATTTAATCTTTTTATTAGCATTTAAATTATATTTATATACTTTAATTGTTACATAACAATGAAATCAACATAAATATATTCACTACAGATTTTCATTTTGTAATATATTACACAGTTATTTCATGTTTTACCGGTTTTCAAGTCTTCATTGCATTTCAGGAGGGAAGAATGCCAAGACTTTTGTGGATCGATGTATATCTTACATTGGAGATAATGCAATTGAATGTGTCAAGACTAATTCATTCCTTAATTTGCCCAAAGATGCTTTAGTAAAACTAATTTCATCTGATTATGTACGTATATTATTGTAACAATAAATACAGCAATTTATTTTGTCTTATGATTTAACAGCATAAAGTAAAATTTAAATTGGAAAATAGTTCACATTTGGTATTTAACACAAATGTTAACTTGATATTAGTTGGCTCTTGAAGAAGAGGAAGTTTGGAGAGCAGTGCTTAGTTGGGCTAAATACCAAGCTGGTGTTACTCAACCAACAGCTCACTGGACTGAAGAGGAACGTGCACGTGTTTGCCAACACCTGGCAGGTGTTATTGGGCATGTTCGACTTTTGTTGATTGGTATTATTAATTTAATTTATCAAGTTTAAAGAATAACAAACAATTTTAAAAGTATTTAAGAAATGATTTATAAATTTATAGACAGTCAAGTCTTTGCTGAAGAAGTGGAACCTACAGGGGCTGTGCCTATGGAGTTATCTCTGGAGAGGTATCGATACGCAGCCCTCCCAAATAAGTTTCGGGAGAACTGTGAAGACAAAAGACTTCAGCCACGAGTGTCATTAAAACTCTTTCCAGGATCACAAATATTAGTTCAGGTTCACTTCTTATTCTAACAAATGTATTACTACTATTATTATTATTATTATTTTAGAGAAACACCTCTAACACCCCTTTTCTTCCAGGAAAAAACTTCCTACCAGCGAATTCTAAATACCTGGTATGGTACATCCAAACAAGTGTGGAGGTTGGTGTACAGAGCATCCAGTCATGGGTATTCAGCAGAATCATTTCATCGCCATTGTGATGGTGTTGCTCCAACTTATGTTATTGTCCTGGTATGTTCAAAAATTAATTTTGTTTATATGCAGTATGAAAAAGGAACATTGTGAGAATTATGTAATTACTTTTGTTTTCCAGGGACCACGTGGAGAAATTTGTGGAGGGTTTAGTGATGTACCATGGGGTAAAACTAATACAAAAGGTCACTATATTCCCTCAGAAAAGGCTTACCTTTTTACTCTGACCAATACTCAAGATGTACCACCCACGAAATATGAGATTGTCAAAAAAATGTTTGCAATTTGCTATCATCCTGAGTAAGTGAATAAATTTTGAGCATTTGCAGAGGGTGTTTATTTATTTATTTATTTATTTATTTTGGTGTTCCCTTTTCTTTTTTTCTGTACTTTTTCTGTTTTCTTTTTTCAGTTGTGGGCCAATATTTGGAGCTGGGGCAGATTTACTTATTGCCAGTAATTGTAACACCAACATGGACAGCTACAGTAATCTCCCTCATTCTTATGATGGTGATAGTGCTTCCTGCACTGTCCTCATGAGCGACTACAACTTTTCAGTTGTAGATTATGAAGTGTTTACACCAATTGGTAAATAATATTTCAAGAGCGAAAATAGTTCAAGGATGGTTGTTTGAAAATTGTTTTACAATGACTTACATTTTTGTTTTAAAAAAATTTGTGTCAAGTGCTTCAATAGAGCACAGAGTTAAATGGAAACAAATTAATTTAGTGAACTTTTACTAGTTTACATCAGTATTAATTATATTTTTCTCTCAAAATGTGATCATCAATGAAGATACGATTGTGAAGAAACTATTTTATTGTAAAACATATTTTAGGACAATAGGGAAAATAAATTAATTCCTTCTTCAGTGAGTAAAAGAGTTTTATTGTGAGTAACATTTTACTTCTTAGCATATCATATGAGTTGCCATGACTAGAAATAGTGTACATAGTATATATTTTGAAGTCAGGACATATATATAAATTCAACTGAAATTAGAAAACTATGAACTAAACAATATACTTTTTGCAATCTCACCGAATGCTGTAAAATTAAATTTTTCTTACAGAGTTTCAGCAGTTTTTATAATAAGTATATTACATTTATTTCTACACAAGAGTAAATATTGTTTGTAAGGATACTAAATAACTAATTTTCACACATTGTTTCTTTCCATTTCCTAAAACTGAGTAAATGAACAAATCTCACTGAACTACTTTTATAGGAAAATATTTATCAAATCTTGTGGTACACAGAATCTCATAGCAATTAACGATTACAGCATCACACTTTCAATACAGTTGAAAGTTCACTTCAGAAAATGAGTATAATTAATAGGCCAATGTACTATAAATACACAAAAAAAGAGACAGGGCAACATTATTTTAGGAAAAATATCACAAGAATTTTAAAATATTTCTAAATTCTGCAGGAATTTTTCAGTTATTCTATTCTTCTAAAATACCAATCTATTTGATTACATTTAATACCTGTGATAATAAGACAAACTGAATAAAGAAGAAAATTCATGATTCTAAAGAACACACAAACAAAGTGTACAATCTTGATTCACAATTTTTCTTTGCCTCTAGGTGTAACTGCAATTACAGAAATGATTTTCATCTTAAAGGAGAAACCTCAAAAATATAAATTATACTAACAGTAATAAGAAAAATAAATATTGCTTACACATTCAAGCATATTATGAGTTTGAAATCATCAGCATTTCATACTGCTACATATTTAGAAAATAAGTTATATACATATTTATTAAATACTTTTTATTTTACTGCATTCTCTCTCTCTGCAAATTGAAGAGTATCTGTGGCAAGTACGCATATAGCATATGCTTCAGAAGTAAAATATAGTGTTCCAAAACTATTTAATAAAATAGTATGTACAAAAGTTTGCATCTGATGTGTAGTTGTCATTTTTTTTTAACATAAATGAACTTTCTTCAAGCAGGTTCCATTGGTGTTTGATGAATTTGTTAAACCTACTTCAGTTCAAAAATTGCCTGTTTCTTTCATATGATAATATTATTTTCTATATGTTGCACACAAAACTCCATGTACACCAGATTTTTCTACATGTTTATCTTTTTTCAATTCATTCAAATCTGATACTGACACACTGCAAGCATTTTCAAAACATGCTTTCAACAGGAAAAGTAACTATACAATTATCTGATTCCTTATTCATAACAACAAAAGTAGAGTACAAAAGATTATTTATACTGGTTCAATATATACATGGAACGACAAAAAAAGTAAAAAAGAAACAACAAATTGAGCTGATGGATGTCTGTAAAATATCTACACTGTTCACATATAGTTTATTATATTTTGCTTCTGACCACGACTAGCAAAGAACAGCACGTACTAAAAATCAGTAGTCTTTTATATTCAAGGCTTTTCACATTGAAATTAATAATATAAACTTTTATGAGAAGAAGTCACCAAATGATCTCTCAAAAACTTCCTGTTGTAGCCAAACTTCATAGTGCTGCTTGAAATAATCTGTCAGTTCAAATGGTTGTCCCAGAACACTGGTAATACAAGTATCCATAGGTTCAAATTCAGGATCTTTGTTACCTTCCTTGCTGTAACGGCGATTATTAAAACGATCAACACACGCTCTCAAAGCACATTCTTCTGCTTGAAAGTCCCAAGGTCGAGCATCCAGATCATTGCCATAAGCCCAGTCATCATTCAACCGATGACGGACTTTCTGGTATATAGCACTCATTGTTTTCATATTAGATTTTCTCCACTGCCTCCCTAAATATTTTGTTTGCATTTTTAGAAGCTTCAAAACATATAACTGCATCATTGCGTGGCGTACTTTTAATGTGCGCTTCAATATAGGTGCTGATTTGAATACTACCAACATCATTATTCGAGAATGTTTCCATTTTGTCAATTTGTTTAATATTCTAAGTAAATTTATACAGGAAAATATGTTGCGCCAAGAATACTGTTGGTTGTCCCCAATTTCCAAACTTTCTGCAGTCAACTCTGGTTGATCTCCTATTACACATGATGGAAAGTCAAGAATAGGTATTGTGTTCTTTGCACCAACATATGCCATGATATTCTGATTAAAAAATTTGAGAACAAGAGGAATACAATTGGCAAATACCAAATGTTGTGACATAAATTCAAACTGGTAGATATGGTTCAATTTAAAATGTTTCAAGAGTAATAATAAAATAGCTGACACAGCTTTTACAATTATTTCCTTATGCCTGTTGACATCAATACCCAATTTCATGGATTGAAGAACTGTCATAGGCATTTCTTCGGGAAGGACATCAGCCATAATATTAATGGAATCTGTTTTGGCTTTTGATGTAGGGGCAGCTGCAAGTAATATTTTCAACAATGCTATCATATATTGTGGTAATGTAGGAAGCATGCCTTGGTATAAGATTTCAGTAGGTGTTAAAGGCACATTTAATTCAGGAGTAGAAACAGGGTTTCTAGCAATATCTTCTTCTTTCTGTATCTGTATTTCAGCAAGTGAAGTGTACATATTATGTTTTAACACTTCAACACCTTCATGAATAGGCTGTGGAAGACCAGCAAGAGAAACTCTGTCTCCTTGCAATGGAAACCCAACAAACTTCACTCTTGTATTTTCTAAAAACTGGTCCAAGTCTTTCTGGCGAGCCTTTGGAGCCCATGGTAAGCCCTTTCCTTTAGTGGGTACAGGTGTACTTGGCCGAGGGCTAGGGGGTTGAGGAACTTCACCAGCTTCTTCCAATGCCTGTCTTTCTTCAAAATCTCTCACTTCCTCATCTGTCTGATCAGGGGGCTCATCAAATTCAATAGGCTCATCCATTGAACTCTGCTTGATCAAACTTCTCCGAAATGGCCTACTGTTACGCTTCTGGTTCTGAGCTTCTAACAGGTCAGCAGCACTTGCTGGTGGAGACGAAGCTCGCATAGTACGGGCCACTTCCATTGTATCTTGTGTTATACCAAGACCTGCTTTTTCACGATATTCCTTCTTTAAATCACGTAACACATCCATTCCTCCCAACGACACAAGAATTGTCTTCCATAGAACTAGGAGAACTTTTTTCATGGGAAAATGAGGAGCAGTACCACTACAAAAGCGTGTGACCATACCTAACAATTTCACTACCAGCAACTCATCTCCTAAAGGGTTCCCTAATTCACTTTTGAATGCATCACGATGAGTCTTGTACATGTCAGTGTCATCATCATGGGGCACACGCATGACTTCTATCATAACATAAATCACACTTAAAACAACTCGCAAGTCTGTTGAATCAGCCAAACTCACAGCAAGTTTCCGTAGAGCAGTTGAAGCAGCCGTACTATTTTCGATTTCAATATTTAAAAGTTCTATAAAAGCACAAAATACTCCACATTCATACAAGAGCATACAGTTTTTACGAGTCCATTCCAATTGCTCTGCATCAGACTGCAGTTCTGCCCAGCAGCCCTGAGCTAAGTACAATATGCATCTTGCTGCTTTCATACGCAAAGTTTTATTTGATATTTCTAACATATCCAGCAACTTCATTACTATAGACTTGCGTTGTTCCTCTGAAAACTTCAACCAGAATGGATTTAGTTTGTAGTCCCTCATCAGATCTTCGAAGGCCTTCACATTTTGTTGAAATTCTGGTTGTTCTGTGTAACTATACAACTCTGCTAATTCATTTATAAGAGAATCAGCATCATCATAGTTGAAATCCAAGTCAGGACATTCTGGACCACTCTCCGAATCTTGTCTTTGACGGCTGTACAAATCACCAATTTTATTGAAACGTCGTTTCCCGTTACCATTAGCATCCATGTTGTTCACAAATGGCATGAATTAAAGAACTATGTATTAACAATAAATTAAATACAATATTTACAAGTTATTTTAGCACCACACGAACAAATATTCTCGCCGATAGTATTTTGTTTGAGCGCACTCACAAAAGCGACCGACAGGTTTTTAGACTGAATCTCAGAGTAAACATAATGACAGTCGGTGTCACTGCAAGAAAATTCATACTTCTCAAGCTATAAAATTCTCACTGGCGTAAAACGGCTTAATTACTCACATCGCTCCTGAGATAATGTTTTTCGAATTATTTTCGGAATCTGTAAGGGTTGTGACTTATTTTATTTGAATTGAAAACACATTTACTTGTTAGACGATCTCTTCCTATTGCGAGTTTGTTGCTTTCAATTTAAAAAAAGAAAAACCCAACATTCCAATTTCCCTCTCTTAGGTTCGAATCTATTTCTGGGTGGCCTAAGGTGGGATGGGGACCAAGTGCCCTCTTGGCTGGGACCCACTGAGTCTACCTCAAGGATTCCACAAAAGCATTTTCTCTGTGAATTCACACCGTAGTATTTATAAGTCATTCCACCTTTGTACAGTTTAAAAAAAAGCAGAATCGGGAATCAGAAATGTAATCGCTTACTAATATTATCCGCTAAATTGATTATTGAAGATCCGCACGCTAATAGGACCTAGGAGGAGGACCTAAGTTCGAGTCCCGACAGTGGCAAGATTTTCAACATTCGCTTGTCAGCTAAGTCAAATTCAGTCGCTAGGTTGAGAAGAATTGTAGAGGCCGGTTTATCTGATCGGTATCAGTTTTCCGTGGTATCTCTGATCATCCCCAGGCGAATGCCGAAGCCAAACCCTAACAAACGGGCCACGGACAGCGCGCTATCTTTCTTTCCTCTTCCTTGTCCTATCCTCACCCTCACCCTTTTACACACACTAACATACACTACACTACCATACATAATTCTATATTTCTCCATGTTGTCTAGTTAAAAAAGAAGTATTTGTTTAAAACAATATAATATAGGCGTGCAGCCTAAAAAACAAGGAGAACCAACTACATTTTGGACACGGCCGACTCTTACAGCCAAGAAGCTGAGGGACAAACGGAACGAGTTACGATGGATAGAAGAGAGTACGAATACAGAAGGGAGTACGACAAGGACGCATCATGTCTCCAGCTATATTCAACTTACACTGTGAATTCGTAATACGAGAAGCGGGACGATGTATTACTTGTGGGACTAAGGATTAGAGACAGAAAATTGAACAATCTATCAACAATCTGATAATACGACACCTCTAGCGGAAAACAAAACTGACATGAGTAAAATAATAAAAAAGGTGAAGAAGGAAAGTGAGAAAGCAGGTTTTAAATTAAACATAAAGAAAACGAACGTAATGTCTACATGGGTACAAGAGAACATGATAATAGATGGAGAAGAACTTTGTATGGTAGATAGTTACAATTTTTTAGGGTCACTCATTACCATCGACGGATCAAACAAGAAAGAAGGATAATTCATAGGCAAGTAGCAATGGGGAAGGTAAAAAAGGTAATAAAAAACTCAGGAATATCCATGAACACAAAAATCAGAATGATTCAGACGATGGTAATCCCTGTGGCGCTCTATAGGTGCGAAAGTTGGGAACTGAATGAACGTGATAAAAATAGACTAGACAACTTTGAGCTTCGGGCATGGAGGAGAATGTTAAGGGTGTCCTGGGCAGAAAAAAATAATTAATTTATGGATAATAAATTAATTAAAACCTAGACATTCTTTAGAGGCACTAGCCACAAAATTTTAAATGAAGTACTTTGGCCTCATTATGAGAAGGAATAATTGACTGGAAAATGACTTGATGTTGGGCCAGAAGGTGGAAAAAGGAAAAGAGGAAGACAGAGAACACGATGGATCTAAGAAATAATGGCAATATTGTGGACGAGTTCGACATATATTAAGTTATATGCAACACTCAGGACAGAAATGTGTGGAGAGTTGCAGTCAATTAAGCGATAGGGAACAGAAAGAGACAGACAGAAGAATACGGGAAGGCAAGACCTGGCCTTCTTGCTATGAAAATCCTGAGGATTTCCAGAGGTCGTACGCGACCTGATGGGATAATCATCACGCAAGAGGCCTCTACCATTACACTTCTCTTACCCCTTACCTTAGACATGCGTAAGGAAGCACACAGGTGGAGCATCAGAAAAATGTATTAGGAGTTAATTAAAAAAGAAAGTTAAAGCTACCGGAAATATGTTAGCTTAAGTCCGATCAGCGTGTCATTAATAATGAGCGACGGGGCCCCTTTCAGAATTTTCAAAGGGGCCCGTTCCCCCTGCCTCCTCCAGTTGGATCGCCAATATAAGTAACTGAAATTGGGCTCATATTTAGGTCTACGAGTGTTTGCATCAGTTTACTAAAATTTATCTCACTCCTGACTTCCGTCATTTTACGGAGAAATAAAGATACTGATGTATATAATTTGACTGACAACCCTGATATTTTTATCGTCTCTGATGCGTATTTATGAAATTTATATCATGTAATGAACTCGGCACCCACGATTACTGCCGCGCCTGCCTGCTCTCAATCCCAATGCCTCGTGGTGCGCCGGACAAGACAATCACTTAGAGTGATTTCATATCTTTCTTTTTATCGTCTTCCCGGAGGCTGTAGATGACAGTCCGCGGCTGTAGTATGTGTTTTGTTTGGGAAGTAGCTTGAGTTTCGTGCTGCTGGTTTCGTGACAGGTGTGTGGGCAGGGGAATCAGGGCCCGGCAACTCTCCATCAAAATCGGGGCAAAGCTCGAGGTTGCTACTATAGGAAGCGCTAGTGTCGCCGGGTGCAGCTGTAGGTTAGACTCGCCAACTTTCCCACATACAAATTGGCTAATTTGTGAGAAATACGAAAAGTGTCTTCTAAATGTACAATTATTCATAATCTCTACTTGTAAGTAACCTCTGAAGAAGCGCGAACATAGACGTTATCTTATGTAACATTATGGTCCTGCTTGCGACTCACGCACCAGTCACGCACGTTTAAAGTATCGTTGGCAGCAGTTCCTGTTTTAGTTCCTGTGAAGAAGGTGATGCAGCAGAGCGCGCCACCATAATGGTCTCCACCACGTTATATGGGAGTTATAAGGCCCTGAGGGGAATGGAGATCAATGGAGACCGGTGTTGGTTCGAATGTTGATGTTGACATTGTGTAATATAAATACCGTCGTAATGATAAGAAAAGCTAAGGGAAGTGATTATTAAACAAATACCAGTTCTGATATCCCGTGTCATGTGAGCTGGAGGCCGATGACTGTTCAGTAATACTGAGAGCAACTTCGCCGAATTATCTTGTGTTCGATACGTGATTTCTTTCAGAAGTATAAAATTCGTTTCTTTGGAGATGTAGTTTATTGGAACCAACTGTAATTCTGATCGTGTAAAACACATATAATCATATTCATTCCATTTCCAATTTTTAGGGAGCAATTTTCCTTGTGTGTGTGTGTGAATGAAAACAAATTCCTTCAAAATGTTTGGGTCGGTAAAAACTATGTTAAGAAAGTATAAAGACTCTCATGCAAGTAAAAAAACAGCAAATAAATCAGCAAATTGTGTTACCAATGAACAGGGAGATTCTGATTCAGGTGGTAATATGAAAGAATTCAATGAAATCGGCACTGATCAGAATTCAAAATCTGAGGATTCCCAACCATTTGTTGATGTGGTTGTACGTAAATTCCCATGCCCAAATATGGCCACTTTTTTAGTAATTACTTTGCTCATTAAAGTATTTGTAATTTTGCCAGTTATTTATCTTCTACATTGTTTTGATTTGCTCAATACTCACTGGCCAAATGATGAATTCAGACGTGTGCTCACTGACCATAGTCATTCAAATCCAAGAAAAGATAATCATTATTATCATTCTGTTTTATATCATCCGTATAATGATTCGAAACAGCATCTTAGTGAGTTAGATGATATAAGCAAATTGCCTCTGCCAGAACCTGCCTTGCCTTCACAGTGTTCTAGTATCCCAAATGCAATGAAATTTGATTGCTATCCAGAGGAAGGATCTACTGAGGACAAGTGCAAAAAGCGTGGCTGTTGTTGGGCTCCTGCTGGGAAGTCCCAGACAGAGAATTCTTCTCTGCCACTGGATGTCCCTTATTGCTTTTATCCTCAAGGATTTGGTGGATATACTGTTCATAACATTACTCATGCTCCTACTGGAATAACTGCATTCTTGAAAAGAAGTTTCAAGTCTCCATACCCAAATGATGTGCCAATGGTAAAAATGGTAATTATGTATGGAAATGAACAACAGCTTCGTTTGAAGGTAAAATCAGAAAACAATTTAATTGGTTGCTTGATTTATTATATATTAAAAAGAATGTATGCCATTAAATTCTCCTTTTATATTAATTTTGTTTTAAGCTCTATGATCCATCTTCACCAAGATTCGAACCTCCTTATCCTGAAGTACCATCACTACAGAAAGCTGTACCTCAGAAGGATTATCGTGTTGAAGTGGATACCCAGACTGGTGGTGTGAAAATTATCAGAGATGCCAATAATATTACAATGTATGAACTTTTATCTTATTGCTAACTCGCATAACTTAAATATTTTTCTGAGTTATAACATTTTTTGTTAAAATTAAATTCTTCTTATCATTTTGTAGATTTAATACTCAAAATGTGGGTGCATTGATATTAGCTGATCAGTTTCTACAACTATCATCTTTGTTGCCTTCTCGTAATGTGTATGGTCTTGGTGAACATCGATCAAGTTTACGTCTTCCTCTTGATTGGCAACGATTTGTTATGTTTAATCATGATACAGTACCCACAGAGAATGTAAGCATTTTCTCATTGTTTATAATTTTTGTGTTTTATTAAATTATATTTAAAATTCAAATATGAAATACAAAATTACAGCAAAATTTGTATGGAAGCCATCCCTTTTATCTGGTAATGGAAGAAGAGAAGAATAGCCATGGCGTCTTCTTGCTGAATAGCAATGCAATGGGTTAGTGGTGGTATTACAACTTTTTTCTAGGAGCATGAAACTCTTTAAATGACACTGAGCATGTATGTTGTGTTGCGTTTGAAATATATTAAACATTCAGTTTTGATATAAAATGGATTTAGTAATTTTTTGGGGATCATTTACGTGTAGAATACAAGGAGAATTAGATATTTTTGATTTTATGCATACTTGTGTAAAGAAAGTAACATTTGTATTTTAAATATTACCTAGGATATAAAATTCTAGTGGAATATATTTTAAGTTCTGAACAATTATCTATTAATTTTTTGTGAGGAGGGTGATTGATAGACCGATGTACCAATTCAGATATTGATGTGATTATTTTATTTCACTATATTTGTGTTTTATGCATTGTAATGAAAATGAATGAGTAGGATATTTATGTGTGTGTTTATAAAGTATATTTGGAGTGATTTAGAAATCGATTAATCCTCAGGTTCCGCAATTGAGTTTTGCCTATGTTAAGTTTGGAGATGAGGTTTCATCTCACTGGCCTCCAAGGATGCAGAATTCTATTTTGGAATTTTATGCAAATATATGGCTTTCTCCCCAACTTCATATCACATCTACCTACTTTTTACAAGATAGGGTTGCTAATCATCAACTTCCATTTTGGAAGGATAAGTTTACTTCCAGTGAAACTTACCCTTATGTAAGGCTGTTGTTACACTTCTCACCATTTTAATTCTGTCAGTTTTCCTTCTCATATCGCAGGAATTACATTTTTAAGGAGAAGTGTTGAGAGATTGAGACTGATATCGGTGGGCTTTATCTCTTCTTATTTGGATTTACTATAATGGACTGAAAATACAGTGTTAGAGAATATCTAAAAATTAATACCATATATAAAGAAATGGAACTCTGCATACAGAAATGGGTGGACACACAGAATGTACAGAAGTATGTACTCAATGTTAATTGTATTACATACTGAAAGGCAGATGAAGTTAGGATATTGAAAGAAAGTTAATCTTAGTGTCTTGGAGTTTGCAGCAAGTGTTGAAGCCTGATTATAATGATAAATGATGATAAAAAAATATCTCTCTGAGTAAAGTTAGTTTAATAGGTTTTTCTTTGATTATGATCCAAGTGAAATTTATTTCATGAAAAGTATTACATTTCAAGAATTTTATATTAAGTTTAATGATTAGGTATAGAATCCATTGGCAGATGACCAGATACCTTAAGAATATTTTGGTATTGTTGTTCTCTAGGCAGCTTGCCCTTATTTCTAAGATCAAAGAGCAAGTGCTTAAAAAAATAAACTATTATAATTTTATGTTTTGTTAATAAAACAAACCTTTAAAAGAGTCTATTGCAGAAATTAATACTTTGAGAAAATACAGTTGTACACAAACATTGGTTAAGATACCTGTAAAATGTTTGTATGGATTTTATAAACTTCTTTAACTTATTTTTTAAACTCTGAATTCTTAATTTGAAGTAGTTTATGGTTATGTGTAAGGTCTGAAGATTAGAAACAAAATCATGGGAAATGGAACCAAGAATGAGTTGATAGAACGAAAATACACAGTGACCTTGTATTATGGACTTCTCTTAATTAGGTTTACCAGATGTTCTGCTTTGACCACTACTGACTCACTTTCGGCCGACTATCGATCGTTATCCTAGCTAGTTTGTCATTGTCTGCTGGTTGTTTGATAAAATTTTAAAGGTGCCAAATAAACAAAAAGTAATTCAAAATTAGTGGTGCTACAGAATATAACAGACTTTCCCATATTAATTTTCTATTTCCTTTGGTCTCAGCGAGCTATTCAGAACTGCTACATCCCAATGCCAACTGCAATCTATCGCTGCTCAAAGTTAATTTTTTTAAAAAATTTCCTAATTGTTTGGTTTCTTAATAGGAGAAAGGAAACATTACTTTAAGAATATTAAAACACAACTGTAACACCTCGCAAACAAAATATGGAGCCATTTTTAAGAAAATAACGTTTAAGCACTCCTGTAAATTCACAAATGCAAATATTGTTTGCTTTTCAGTCACAAATGCGATATTGTTTACAAATTGCTAGAAATGTGCATATTAAAGGCGTGAGATGTGTGAAACTAATCAAAACATTTTTTTTTACATTTACATTTTTATAACTTTTGAAAATACGAAAAAATATAGCGTTTAGAAAATATGGCGTTTACATCATCTTATAGAGTGCATTTTGTATAATCTGTATGAAAAGTTTAAAGAAACGATTTGGAGCTGTTTTTGAGAAAATTTTGTTTTTGTAATTTTTTAAAATTGCTAATATTGCATCAATATTGCTTGAAAAGGTACTAAAATTTTCAAAAAATCTACACGACCTTAATAAAATAACTAATTATGGACAACAAATTTTATATAAAGGAAAAATCTCTATCTACAATTTTGTAGTTGTAGGAAGACACGGAAAAAATTCAAACTTTTGCAATTTAGAGTTAACTGTGAAAATTGGACCTATGCTATCTTTGTTAGTGTATTTTACTCTACTCTTACAAGAAATTTAAAGCAAAAATTTTGAGCAGTTTTTGAGAAAATTTTGAAAATGTTGTGGGCGCTTCATGTAAAGTACCCCCAAATTTAGAAAAATGTTTTTCAAAATCGCAGCACTTCAAGTGGGGCTAGATTGACTGAGGAATGCCATTTTGGAAAACATATGGTTTAGGTGCTAGCGGTGAGCACAGACTGACAGATGGACAGACGTTTTGAAAAAAACACTTTTTCATGTACAGAAAAGTAAAAACAGCCAGAATGTCCATTGCTACTGCCACTGTTATCAATCTCCTTTTTTTGTCATCTCCATTGTAATATTTTGAAAATTTTTGTGACTTTTTCTTTAAAAATGAATGTGAATAATTATCTCATATTTAAATTGTTGAATATGTGCTATCAGTTTTGTAGGTATAAATCTATAAACACAATCTAAAAACTGTCCTAACACAGGAAAAGCTGTTTTGAGAAAAAGACATTTGAAAATTTTCTGAATTAGCAGGGTCATATCATTTCACACTCTATTTAGCAACATTGTCCACAATAGAGTTGTAGCAGTTTTTTTATTATAAAGCAATAAAAATCAAAGTCGGTTTTCTTAGCCAAAAATCTTCCTTTTTTGGTTTTGACAGTTTTTGAGTACATGTGATGAGTTTAAAACTATAGGAAACAAGCCAAAAATTGCCTTAATTCATGAACCGAGGATGGAAATAAAGTAAATAGTGTAATTGGTATATTTGAGTACACTTGCATGGATTTTAAAAGCTGAAGTTATTTTGTGGATGTGTTTAAAAATCAAAATAGTGATAAGTTACCTTTAACATAATATAAAATTGTTCTGGGTGAGGGGAAAGGAAAGGAAACAAGGTATTAACTGCAAATATTTTGCGGATTCTATATAATGAAACTGCTATTGCATTATTTAGTTTGGGATCATTCACGGTATCATAATTTATGCTTGAGATATAAAAAGAAGGCAACGTACATTTAACAATAGTACAACCTCATATTTGTTTGGAGGTAAGAGATGGAATATGAGAAGAAACTGAAATACTGTATTGTAAAATATGTAAAACTTGGTACATCTGCTTTTTTATTTGCATCCAATTCAAGGCTTTTGATGATAGCGAAATGAATTTCTAGAGAAGCAAGACAATTTTATGCTTTGAAAACGAAAGATTCAAGTTTTTGATTATTAATTGTTTCTCAGAAGCGTGAACATAGAATAGAAATTTTTAAGCACTATTACAACAGCATTTAATTGGAAAATTCATAGAACAAATTATACAAGACAAACTTGAAAAGGCAAATGAGAAGATACATTTAACAGAGAGAATTATGAAACCGTGTGCTCAAGACTTTTGTTAGTGTAGGATTCTTATTTTATTAAAATCTCATGTCTCTACTGTTTTATATCTAAATAAATAAAACAAAGTCGAGTTAGTTTCTCCATTTATATCTCAAAAACGGCTGGAGCAATTTTAATTATCTCTGATTTGTTGGATTCATCTCCATCCCGAATAATTAAAGTATCGGAAAAATTCATAGAAAAAAATAACTAAGTAAGAAATTACATATTTATATAAAATACAGAGCAGGATTTTTTACTCTTTATTGTTAAATAAATCTTAAACAAAGCGTTTTAGGGCATTAAAAACTCAAATTTTTCTCAAATTATACCTGTAATCTATAATCTACAGGATGAGATCATCTTGAACATTCTACTATATTTTTGCTGGTCCAGCGTTTCTCGATATTACCCCACCTGCATGAGGAGACATGAGGAACCTGCAACTAAATGTGTATGAGAGGGAGAGAGAGATGGAGAGACTGAGAAGGAAGGACAAAGAGGGAGTTGAAGGGCAGAACAGTGTCTGCCAGGTTCTGCTAGTGTAATAAAGTACACCTGTAATTTAATTGGTAATTGCATAAATAATAACGTATTTCTCATTGGAATTGAAAATGTTTTTCAGAGGTTATTCTTCAACCAGCCCCGGCCATTACATTTCGAACAATTGGTGGAGTGTTAGACTTCTTTATTTTTCTGGGACCAACACCATCTGATGTTATTCGTCAATACACTGATATTGTTGGCAGACCTTATTTTCCTCCTTATTGGGGATTGGGATTTCATCTTTGCAGGTTAGTTTCTGAGTTGTTCTGGGTGGGTAAAAGTAAAGGAACCATGTTATTCTAAAAGTGTTATACTTTAAAGACGTATTTTTTATTTTTTAGATTTGGACTACACTCCTTAAATGAAACCAAGGAAGTAATGAATAGAAATCGTCATGCTGGAATACCACTTGTAGGTTTTGTTGATGTGTAAATATTAATTGTTGCAACTTCTCATAATTTGAATAAATGTCATCTTCACTAATGTATTTTTATGATTTAGGATGTTCAGTGGAATGATTTAGATTATATGGATTCTAGTAATGATTTTACGTATGACAAGAAACGGTTCCGAGGATTACCTGAGTTTGTTGATCACTTGCATAAGGTGAATTTGTAAATTAAATGATATGTTAGTTTTTACTGTTTCATTATGTCATAAAAATGTATCTCATTGCAGATTGGAATGCATTATGTGCCAATAATCGATGCTGGTGTTAGTGCTGGTGAGAGACCTGGATCTTATCCTCCTTTTGATGAAGGTTTAGCTTTGGGGATTTTTGTAAAGAATACATCTGGCGAGCCTTTCATTGGGAAAGTATGTATTAGTTAGTTTTATTTTAAAATTTTTATAGGGGATATATGTTCTTTTTGATGACTTATTTGTATAGGTGTGGAATCGTGTATCTACTGTATGGCCTGACTTCACACATCCGCAAACTGTTGCATATTGGTTGAAACAATTGCATAGACTTCATTGGCAGGTGCAGTTTGATGGAGCATGGATTGTGAGTATGCAATGATTTCAGGAGTGGAGTTTACAGTTAAGTTCATTGAAATAATATAATTTCATGTTTTTTTAGGATATGAATGAACCATCCAACTTTTATTCTGGAACGTCATCTGGTTGTCCAAACAATAATTTAGAACATCCTCCTTATGTGCCTGCTGTAAATGGGGGGAAATTATTTTACCGTACTCTGTGCATGTCTAGTATTCAGCATGCTGGTCATCATTACAATACTCATAACTTATATGGGTTTTCTGAAGCAATTGTCACCAGCTTGTAAGTGTCAAGTGTGACAATTTTTGTATGAAAATGGTTAAAGGAGTGAAATGTATATCTAAAAATTAATTTCAGTGCTTTGACTGAGATTCGAGGACGAAGACCTTTTGTCATTTCTCGATCAACATTTGCTGGTCATGGTCATTACGCTGGTCATTGGAGTGGTGATGTATATTCTGACTGGCATTCAATGGAAATGAGTATTCCACGTGAGTAAGAAGTTATATTTTAATCTTTTAAGTAGATTGTAGATGACAGTTAATAAATCTTTTGTATTTGTTTTTGCAGAATTGCTCAGTTTTAGTCTTTTTGGAATTCCTCTAATGGGTACTGACATTTGTGGTTTCAATGGGAATACTACTGTGGATTTATGTCAACGTTGGATGCAGCTCGGTGCATTCTACCCCTTTTCTCGTAATCACAATACAGACGATGGCATAGTATGTGAATTTGTTATTTTCATGAGAAAATGTTGCCATAGAGATGGAACATGCTTGTCAAAGAAGTGTAAAATTTGTGCAGACAGTTTCTGAAATTTTATGTGTCATTTGCTAGCCACAAGACCCAGCAGCACTGGGACCTGCTGTAATTGAATCAAGCAGAAAGGCGCTGTTAATTCGTTATTCTCTTCTGCCATATCTGTACACTCTCTTCTGGCGTGCTCATGCATTTGGTGATACTGTAGCCAGGCCTTTGTTCATTGAGTAAGTTTCCATTTACTTTATTGTGAAAAATATTTGTGCATATCTTTAACTTTTAAGCCCTTACATCTAATCATGTTTTATAAGAGCTTGTATATTTTACTGTACTGTTAATTTTAATGTAGTGTCCCTTCAAGGGCGTGCGCCAGGTGGAAAGAGGTACACTATCATTCAATTGGGAACTTCACACAACTTAAATTTTTGGTATTGAAGCTCCCGATTGGATGAAAGTGTCCCCATCTCCCTCCAGCTTATGACCTTGAAGGAACACTGCATTTAAATAAGAGTATATACACTATTTTCGAAACTTAATATTCCGAGAATTAATCACTAAAATAGGTAATAGACAAGCACATGCATGCACACCCACACACACACACACACACACACACACTTGCATAATCGCACACACTCACACACTCACACACACCAATCAGATCAGCAGCTCCTTGTGAAGCAAGTCTGGCAAAACAGTGCATGGTAGGGAACGAAAATACAGTTCTGATAGAATTTATGTTTTCTTATGCAGTAGATGAATAAATGTTTTCTTATGCAGTAAATGTATACCCAAGTAAAGTCAGGTGCTTCAACAAAAGGCAGTATATTCCTTGGAAATATTCTGTCTTTTGTGACAGTGGCGAACCAGTGTAAAATGATGCATTTTCTGAAATGTTTTTCAGTAGTTCTTTCCTCTCATTATTGATGTATGCATCTTACAGAAAAAAAAAATTTTCTACAGATTTCCAGATGACCCAGAAACCTATGGAATAGATAAACAATTTTTGTGGGGACCAGCTCTTATGATTGTTCCAGTTTTGAAGTGGGTAAGTAAATTTATGCTAACACTCACTAAATATATTAGAGAATTTACTTTTTTGTTATAATATATAAATAAATTTACTTTTTTTTAAAATCCTGATGCTCTCACTGTGTGGTCAGGTTTATGCACACCCAGGACCAATTATAGTGAAATTGTTGGAATTAGTTATTGACTTTATTGTGGAGTAAGGATGCAACATCGATGTCAATGTTTTAAACATTGAGGTATTGAAGCTGATATTTTTTTAACATAAATGTTTTTTCATTTTTGATGTTTTGTTTGTGGATGAAAAATTCTCATTACCACAATTGTGTAAAAGTTAAAATATGAAGTAATAACTTATGGTTCTATTGTCAGTTTATGTGTTCAAACCAAATGAACATGGTTTGTACTACCTACATCGAGCAGACTATTACTTGCCTGAGAAGATTGTGATGCCCTGGTATTTACTTCTTATTTCACACCTGGAGAGGGTTTTTTTAATATTGTTTTCAGTTAAATTTTAATTCCAAATTAATATTCACGGCCACTGTCAATTTAAATTTTGTTGCGCACAAATTTAATGTTAAGAGGTTACTAAACTACCATTAAACATAGATTTTTAAAACATTGGAAGTTTTTGGTTGATGTATTATTAACATAATCTTTTTATTTTAAACAACAATGTTTGGCAACATCGATGTTCTGTTGTCACTTTCGCGTCACTAGTTGTAAGTGAATTTATGTTAGTGATTTGTTCTTTAGGTTTACTTTTACCAATAGGAAAGATTGAGCAGTTTTGAGTAGCCACCAGATGTTAGTCTATTCAGTGACTTGATCTAGATCATTTTCAGATCATTTAGGTTATCTATTAGGGATATCAAAAGCACATCCATAAAACTGCGTAGGTCTGTGGTGTATGTAAAAGAGAAGCCCCAGCATTGAACTTTATGGTCATACATTGTGCATCGCTCTTTATGAATAGTAATATAGGTTGACTGTGACTGTCAAAACTCTTGTTATGATTTAAGTAAAAAGATAGGAATTTAATAGAGAGAATACACAGAGGACATTCAATGTATCAATTTTATTGATTTACTGAATACATGAACAGGCAAGACAATCCTGATAATGTTCATGATAAAATAAAAATACACATGAGAAAGAAATATAAAATTACAATATGGTTAATAGAGAATACAACCAACGAAAGAAAACCAACGAAAAAAAGAGAGAAAGATGGTAGATGTTTATCAAGTAAGAAGAGTATAAAATTGGTCCCAACATTGTTTAAATGTGTGAATGCTGGTAACATTCAGCATGGATTGCAAAAAAAAAAAATTTATTATTTAGTTGAGAATTATTTGGAAGAACACCTCAGTTGATCATTGATGTTTCTATTTTGAATGAAATATCATAATGTGGGGATTGTCTCTTAATTTAAATGTAGAGCCACAAAAGAAGAAAATCATCATCAACTCAAAAGTCACAAAAAGAGATAGCTGTTTCTAACAACAATTATTTATATTAGTACATACAGTATGTTAGTCTCATAGATGTAATAATTTTATATTTGTTTCTTTGAAAATTTTCAAAATACGCTATCATGAAACTCCATCTGAAAATAGTATATTTCATAAAATTAATTTTTTAAATTCTTTATGACTTAAACAGGGTGAGACATTTGTGACTGGGTATTTCCCAAAGTCAATTTGGTATAATCTTCATACATTGGGCCCTGTGACAGCAAAACAACAGTCCTGGCATGATATAACAGCGCCTTTGGATACTATTCCACTCTTTTATCGAGGAGGTCACATTATACCTCTGCAGTCTCCTAATATGACTACTACTGCCAGGTATTTGTAAACCATGTATTTTTATACAATTTTTTTCTGCATTGAATTAGCACTTTAAATAATTTTCATGATTTCTTTGTTTTGCCTTTCTTTTCAGAAGTTTTTCATTCTGTGTCTGTTGCTGCAATCTTTCTTTGTTTTGTATTGCTCTTGACTTCATTCATACTTTTTGCTAGAAGCTCTTAAGATTTTAATGTTTACTCTGAAATATTTTGGTTTTTGTTTATTCATCTACTATGAGGGTTCTTAAAGTTTTCAGACACGATTTTATTGAGAATGAAAGTTTTATTAGCATTAAGTAAAAGGAAGTTCATTTATTGATTTTCTTTTCTCTCTCTCTCTCTCTCTCTCTCTCTCTCTCTCTCTCTCTCTCTCTCTCTCTCTCTGCTCTCTCTCTCTCTCTCTCTCTCTCTCTCTCTCTCTCTCTCTCTCCCTCTCCCTCTCCTCTCCCCTCTGCTCTTCCCGCCTCCCTCTCTCCCTCTCCTGCTCCCTCTCTCCCTCTCCTGCTCCTCTCTCTCTCCCTCTCTCTCTCCCTCTCTCTCTCCCCTCTCTCTCTCCCTCTCTCTCTCCCTCTCTCTTCTCCCTCTCTCTCTCCCTCTCTCTCTTCCCTCTCCCCCTCCCTCTCTCTCTCCCTCTCTCTCCTCCCTCTCCCCCTCTCTCTCCCTCTCCCCCCTCTCTCTCCCTCTATCTCCCTCCCTCTCTCCCTCTCTCTTCCCCTCTCTCTCCCTCACTCTCCCTCTCTTTTCCTTCTCTCTCCCCCTACTCTCCCCCCTCTCCGCCCCCTCTCCCCCTCTCTCGTCTTCTTCTTCTTCTCCTCCTCTTTTTGTCTTCTTCTTTTTCTTCTTTTCCTTCTTCTCTCTTATTCTTCTTGTCCTCCCTTCTTCTCTCTTCTCCTCCTCTTTTCTCCTTCTCTCTTTTCCTCTCTTCTCCTCCTTTCTTCTTCTCTCTTTTTCTCTGTTCTTTCTTCTTCTTTTTTCTTTTTCTTCTTTTTTCTTTCATCTTCTCTCTTCTTCCTTCTTCTTCCTCTTCTTCTTTTCTCACTTCTTGTCTCGTCTCCTCCCTTTTCCTTCTTCCTTCTCTTTCTTCTTCTTCTTCTTCTTCTTCTTCTTCTTCTTCTTCTTCTTCTTCTTCTTCTTCATCATCATCATCTTCTTCTTCTTCTTCTTCTTCTTCTTCTTGTTATTTGAACCATCAAATGTAAGTGCATAATTTCATGAGATATTACTGTTTCTTTAACGTGGTCTTTTACTTTTACAGTCGTAAAAATCCTGTAGAACTCATTGTAGCCAAAGATGAAGATGGAAAAGCAACAGGTTCCCTGTATTGGGATGATGGGGATTCTGTCAGTAAGTTACCTATTCTTGCAATAATCTAATAATTATGTCTGTTCTTTTCTGAATATTGCTGGATTTTGAGAAAAACTGGGAAAACTTGGTAAATACAGGGAAATGAAAATGGCAATGCAAAAATTATGGAAAACAGCTGGTAAAAATGCAGGGAAACTGCTGGTAACTTGATGAATGAAAACAATTAAGATTTGATGTCACACTTTGAATAGTATTAAGATAAATTGGTGAACCTTTAAAATGCAGTTATCAGCAAAATGTATGGTGTGCAATGCGTGTGTAGTTATTAGCAAAACTATATAAGGTCTCTTTGTGAATCCCTGTAGCAATAAGAAATGACACTTTTGAGAAAATTGTAATGAAGAAGCAATTATTTTGCATAATTTGTTTCTAATTGGTTTGTATCATTAGCTATACTAAGACAATAAAAAGGTGATAATATAAGATAGTTTAGGTACCCGGGAAAACAAACACACTCGCAAGGTGCTTTATAGTGTCCTCAAGAAATCATTTTGAGGAACTTAACCTTCCTATAGTGCCTGTGGAATGCCCTGATTTAACTAACCAACTTATACTGAAATATTATTATATAATTCACTATTTATACAATCAGAGCAGTGTAACATTTCACAGGATTCCAATTAGAAATTAAGTAATTGCTCTCTGACAGTAATGGAGACACACTCATCAAGGCATCTGAATACTCTTCAGTATTTGATCCAACTTTTGACCTTCAAGAGTCGATTTTTGTTTGTTTGTGGGGGAAGTGGCTGTTGGTCATGTAATAGCAGCAAGTACAATAGGTCAAATGTTGATATGAAAACTTGTAAAATAACATTTTGATAACATCTATTGGGGGGGGGGAGCTGTTTGGTGTTTGTAGGGTATCGGTAGTGTTTTGGTTTTTGCTTTTTGTACCTCTTACCTGTCTCAGGGTTGGCATTGGATCTGACACTATCAATTAATTTTACTTCCAATCAGAAACCGAGTTATTTTTCAAAACATAATTTTTACCCAAAACTATGATTTGGTATTAATTATTTATCTTTTTGACTTAAACTTTAATTAATTTATTAAATTCAGTAAATTTTAAGCATTTAAAATAAAATTTCAGATTACAGAAAATATTTCATTGATTCAATGGCTTTAAAAAATAGTTATCCAAGATTAGAAGGGGAAAAAAATTGGAATTTCTGTATTTCTAAGTAATATTTTGAAGAAAATCTATTTTTAAAGTGAGAGTAATGTTATTTCATTTATTTTGAAGCATACAGTCCTTGAGATTTGAAGGAAAGGGGACAAGGAGGAAATTTGTTGTTTAAAAGAGCTGGGAGAATTTCAAGTTGAAACAAGTTGAAAAACATTTTCTTTTTCATTTACTTGTTGGAATCATTGTTCAAATTGGTTTACTTCATTTTGCTTGGAGGCATATTTTACGATCTTAATGAGCTGTGTATTAAGGCATATAATTTTGGAAACTGAAGGAAAATACAGGGAGAAATTGATTCAAGTGAACAACCTGTATTATTTTATGTTTCTTATGAATTAGTGTTTTTAGTTGTTTGTGGGTTAATTAATGTAAAATATTTTAGTACACTGTGTAATCATTTTCGTATGTTAATTATACCATTTTGACTGAAAAACACATTTTGTTGATCACAGATACTGGTAGAAGCAAGGGTCAGAGAAAAGGAGAATCCTTGGATGGGTGTGGCAAGTGGGTAGTAGATGAACAGGGGCCCTTTATTTCTAACAAAATTCTCCCCTCCCAATTTAATACTAAAGCATATTAAAGATTTTTATAATAATAAATTCAAATATTTTCTTACTTTTCAAAAAATCAAGGAAGGATATTGTTAAACTATTACTAACACCTATGTATTTTAAGATATAAAATACTCATCAAAAATTAGTTTTTAGTGTGATATTGATGGTTTCATTTGAATTGTCAAGGTGGGACAGATGCTTTGACTATATATTTGCTGTGTCCATTGCATTAGAGAGATAATTTTTTGGAGACCCTAATTAGTTCACCTGACCCCCGCCCACCACCCCCACTTGGGATGCCATCAAGTCTGGTCATTAAATTGATGTGTGATATCTATCATGTATTTGTTTTACAACTCCCCTACATGAAATAAACATTTAATGAGCAAATATATTTCTAATGGTTTTAATACTATGTATTTATTTTGCAGACACATATGAAGATAAAAAGTACAGCCATGTGACATTCACTCTTAATGAATCTCGCCTTCGAGGCACTGTTGTGTGGTGGGGTTATGATGCCCCTTTGATGCTTGGTAAAGTACATGTATTGGGGATTGGTATTCCTGTGAGATCTGTATATGTGAACCAAGTTGCTCATTCTTTCTCATACAACTCAGGCAACCAGGTTTGTTGAAAAATTCATAACATATATGCAGGTTTTAAAGTTCTCCTAGAAATTTGCAAGAGAAAATATGCATTCAAAAAATTTTCAGAAAATTGTTTGATTGGATTTGTGCCCTCCAAGGTAATGCTAACTGTGTAAACAGTTGACAATGTTAACTCAGTTAACATTGTGATGTTAGCTGCGAACATTGAAAAATAATTAATTTAACACTTTGAGTGCTGGACAATTATTTCAATTTCTGCCACAGTGACATCATTTTTTCTATCTCCTCACAGTCACTCTTTTGGCTGAAACTTACTTCAATATACATGGCATGCATATTACGTTTGTTGAAATTTGTTACCAACTTATCAATTTTAAGTCGTTTTACCAACTGTACAGTGATTGTGGTAAGTGCTGCACAACACTGGCATAGAAGTTAGTAAAAGTTGTGAAAGACAAAAAAACATGTTTACTGTGGAGTTGGGAACTAAAATTGGTTGCCTTGTTAGTTTGTTTTCGATGCACATGATGTTTTATGTAAATCCTGAAGGCCGCTGTCTCCATTTTACTAAAGAAATGCATTGGAAATTATCCATTGAATAAATTGAAGTATATTTTTTGTTAACCTTGTAGGCCAAAGGCTGGAGCTTCTCTACAAAATTGGATAAGTGTAATGTGAAATACCTACCTTTACCAAACTTATACTTTTGTTGCCCCATGTTGTGAAAGTCGTTTTGTGTTAATATTAATAAATCTTTTTACCATTTACAAACAATCTTATGGATATTACGAAAGGATTACTTCCTCTTCTATTATCAATATTATTATTACTTTTCTTGCCCTGCTATGCTCGTAAATTCTCTTATTGTTTTAATATTATTATTAAACTATTTTCAGTTTTAAATTAAATCATGGGTTTTAACATACATTTTTCTCCTTACCTGCTGCATGTGGACAATGTAATTCAAATCAGAATTATGATTCTTGGAAGTTCTGTGGATTAAAACTTAATTATTAAATTGATGGAAACTCCTATAAAGTATAAGCCTTTTCTTTTCTTTCCAAGAATAAATTTTTAACATTTATTCTGTTATTCTTACAAAATTCTGTTGAGCTCGTGAATGAAATGATTAACTTTTCCTCTGTGTAAACATTAAAGTACCATACAGTTTTGAATAAAGTTCGTAAGCTTACTGCGATGATTTCTCAGATGTCCTCAGGCTTGATGTTGTCCTTAAAATGTCCTCAATACCCCAATTATTGTGCTCTTGCCTAAACTTAGAATAGAATACGAATGTTCCCGGAATATCTTCGAAAATGTGTTACTTTATAGAATTCAGTAATTTCTATTAAATTAATTCAGGGATGAGACTAGCCCTGCTTTAAAGAAAACACCTACGCTCGACTATCTATCTTCTGTCGACTTATTAAAAATTATGCCTTACTATCATTTAAATACCACAGTATATGCTGAAAAAATATTTGCACTGCACCGATTGCTTATGTGCGTTTAACTTAGTAGTTTTTTAGAGAGTATTTTCATACTCCCACAGAATCATAGCTTCCAATGTCATCTCCATACCTCTCGCATGTAATATCTCTGGGGCGGAGCCTCCCCAAATGAACAGCACTATGGCACCAAGTATGGAATACTATATTTATTGGTTGTCCCAACAACATATAATGTTTAGTTTTCAAGCCTGCATACGTTTGGATTGTATTACACCCACTTGGTGCTGTTTTTCCTATTCAAATTAAACCCGGGATTTGTGGCTTATCACAGTAGCGAAGCATCATTGTATCTTATAAGTAATTTATTGAGTATTCATCGTACAAGCATACAAAAATATACTTATTTTGTTATTTTGGCTAAATCAATCCACATTTCACTTTTAAAATTCCAAGAGGTTGATGCTGTGACAAGATGTGCAATAATGCCATTCTTTCCCGAAAAGTAAACTGTATCCCAGCTTTTTATGTCATAATTTGATCTGGTGTGGTACCCTACCTAAATAATTTAGAAATGTGTTTCTTGCACTGAAACCCCTCAATGTTTCTTCTTCAGAACTAAACGAGTTTGAAAATACTATTCTGTATTGTTGTATTAAAAACATAGAAAACCAGGAAATCATGTTTACATTGTTTGTAATGTATAAACTGGAATTAAAAATACATGGTTGTTATTCTGCTCCAAATACTCCTTTTGCTGTGATTTAGGTAGTAACAACACTACATTGTGAGTGTTTCAGCCTTAATATCATACACTTAAATGGCAGAAAGAGAAACTAAAATCATCTGTAAGCTGTATATTTCTGGGACTGTTACATTTCTAATAGAAGTAAGCAAGTAAATGGAAAAGCCATCTCTTCGTATTGTGGACAAAGTATTTCTTTAGAAAGCTCAGGAATATTGCAGACATTTGTCTTCCCCATGAAAATGTAGAAACACAAGAATATTGACAAAGCACTCAAAGTATTAAAAATATATTATTTTTTGTTTGATGTTGAAAAATACAACATATTTCATTGTGTATCAAAATAAAAACAATACCTATATGGTCTCTTGTTTGGTGTAATGCAGTTTCTAGAAAGACAAATTTTTCCTGCATTCTTCTTTTATATGATTAAATTACATTTTTAAAACTTAGACCGTAATATAATTTTGTTATTATATTCCAGTTCTTGAGGATAAAAAATTTGGCTCTTCCGCTCAACCAGAATTTTTCTATTCATTGGGTTTAAATTTCATACAACAATCTTATTTCTCATTGTGGACTGTGAAATACGAAGGTATGTTAGTTTTCTCTTGTAATTTTTTTATTTGTCGATGTTTTCTGGATTTTGTATACTTGTAATAATAAGAGGATGAATATTAAGTGCACTTCTATATTACTGAATGCATATTTGTGTGTAAATTTTGCTGTTATGTTATTCAATGTTGGATAAATATTAAATTTGCAGAAAATGTAATATTGAATACCAGCTATAGAAATGTAATGCATTTAACATCCTGAGAAGAAGTGTGAAGAGCTGCAGAGTGAGAAGAATTTTCACAAAACACATGGAAAAATAATAATAGAGCATTCCCTAAAGAAGCTAGAATATATCTTGATTCATTCTATTTTCGAAGGGTTGATAATTAATAGATGTTTACATAGTAAAAGAATATATATTTGAGAGTTCTTTTCCCCTATTTATTGTAATGTTAACTGTGAATTGTTGTTCTATGAAAGCTCACTGAAAAGAAGTACATAGTGCATTAAATATATGTATATCAGTGAGGTGAAAAATAAATAAGATTACACAACAATTTTGAATGAGAATAATATTGCAATCTCTAATTTAATATTGCCATAAAATATTTGATTTTTATGACGATAATTTCTAGAGAATATTATTGAAATTTATTTTTCACCTCATGAATTCAGAGATTTAAGAAGAATAGAAAGAATCAATTGTTAGAATGTATAGCTTTTGAAATATATTGAAGCAACTTTATCTACTGAAAATTGATGTGTCAAAGGGCACTGTTAAAGTGCAGTTATATAGACCTCTTTTTGTGGTATTTTGTGTCCAGATGTAAGTAACATGTGTTAATGTGCATTGAAAAAGAAACACATAATTAAATAAAACAAAAATAATTGTGATTAACTGATCTCTGAACTTTGAATGTAAATCCATTTGTATAATTAATTTCCTTCTCTATTAACAGATATGTCATATCTTCTAGGTTTGCTCAAAAATGGTAGATGGAACATGCTCTACTAATTTTACTCAAATCAAGTTTTTGTCATTGACATGTGCCAAAGGAGTTCATGTTACCACCCCTTTCTCTGTGATAATCACTTCTCTTCCTTTCTTTCTTTTTTCTCCTTTTTGTAGACTACATGTTTGAATTTGTCTGTATCCAATAGTGGTTTTCTTCACTGTTAAGTGTGCAAAATTTCTAATTTTACCGGAGAAAAAATACTTAGTGACAAATAGTAGCTTTGAAGATTTATGTTACATATCAGTTTTATTTTCTCTCACTCTCTATTTACTCACACTTTTATTTTTAATTTAGGATGATTAGTGTTGTATTTTGTTACTGTAATTCGATTTTAAAATATTTGTAATAATGGTTTTTTGAATTTACACATTATGAATGATGTTAGTTTCCATTGGTAGCTTAATTATTTATTTGTGATAACTAATTATAGGATGAATATTTTGGGAATCTACTAGTTAAGAATACATTGCATTATCAAAACTTGTTATGTTTTTGGCATGTATTGCTTGTTTGTTAGCACTAGAGACAATGTTAGTTATTTGTATGTTTCCGAAAGCATTTAATGTAATGTTACCCAAATCTATTGGGATCATGGATTGATATAATTGTTTAAAATATGTGTGGTCATTGATTGTGTATCTGCTACTTACATTGTATATCAATAGAAAATAGTTAATAGTCATTATTTTATTGATATAGTCAATATTATGAAGTATGCTTTTGTTGCATTTTGGAATCTCATCATCTTTTGATTTGAAGATTATTTAGTTTTTGAATTAATAAGATATTTTTTATAACTTTTTGGTAGTTATAAGAAAATTGTAAGTTACAACGTTCTCTTTTGAGAAATTGGAGAAGCATGAATTTATATTAATGTTATGCTATTTATGATATTAATGAATTTGTCCGTTTATTTGCAATTTTTAGTTTGTTTTTCACAAAATATACTCCTTAATTGAACAATATTTTAAATAGTTTGTAAAACTATTAGTGTTGTATAAGACTGTTGCAATGATAGGCCATCCAGAATATAAAGTATGTGTAAAAGAATATATATATGTATATTATATATTATTTCTGGTGTTTATTTCAGCTCACATTTTCAAGATAGAATATTGTTGGTAAATTCATCCATATTTCTTTGTATTTGCATTGTAAAATTTGCTCTAATTCGAGTATTTATTGCAGTTATTTTAATTTTGTTCAGTGTGCAGGTACTTTACAATAGGCCTATTTATTTTATTTCAGAGTACAACAAAATATAATACCTGTTTATTATTGTCACCAAAGCATAAAATGATGCAAGGGCACATTTGACAACCACGCACAAATAAAACCAGTAGTGTGTGTAGGTTTCTCAAGTTAGGTCCATTAATCTCATTTGGAGAGATAAAAGATACGTAATTAAGTAGATGCAATTGCATTTACATGACAGACACTACAACTTTAATATTTATATCAGTATATCATAGTTTGACATTTTTTATTTTTTTTTATTAATTTGTATACTTAACATGATTATCAGTTTCTAATTGATGTTGTACAGTATAGTTGTGATGCTGTTGTGTTGTAGAAATGAATTACATGAATGTATACATTGTTCTTCAGTTAGAGACATTATGTAGTGTAGCTAAACAGTGATCTTGATTTTCTTCAATAAAATTTTGTTAGCAGCATGATTCAGTTTTAAATTCTTCTGTAAAGATGGTATCCAATTTAGTATTATAAAACTCTGAAAATCAGAAAAAAATCATCAGTAAGTGAAATCTTAGAAGTGATATACGGTGTACATCTGAATTGGATGGCATTATCCATCAGCAGACTAAGTGCCAATAGAAAAAAAAAGTTTTTATTTGAGGTTTACTTTGTTCTATTTTATTGTGATTCTGGTGTGTGAAGTGGGTGCTTATATGTGGGGTATTGCTGTTTCTGATCTGGAGGATGAACTAGATATATGCTAATATCAGCAGTTTTTCTTCATTAATTATAAGTTGCATACTGAATAATACTGAGTATTAAACTTCAAACTGTTTTCTCACAAAGCAGAGTCTTTGACTTAATGTTACCAGCCCTGCAGCTGGCACAGAATTGAACTGAAAATAGCTGCAAAAGCTTTTTGCAGAATTAAAATGCTATGGCAAAACTGCACATGAAATCATTACAAAGATAATAAACCTCTCACCCCTTCCTCTTGCTAGTTAAGAATGTCACTTTGTCATTGCATGTATAATGCCATTCAGTCATGCACACATTTCTTCAACTGGCAAGATTGTTTTATTTCTTGTTTTTTGGCCTCATTTAAAAAATGTAGAAGCAATGCAAAATGCTGTTTCTTTTGTTTTCTAACGTGGAGTCTGTGTATGTTCCACTTTGTTTTTTAGATGGACTATCCAATGTTGTATCCCATAAGATCGAATGTATTGTCTATACTATTTTGTCTTTTTGAGAAAATTTTGAAAATGTGACTTCGTGTAAAGTAGTACCTCCAAAAATCAAGATATCCGTTTCAAACTAGTAGGGCCACGAGTTCGTTTCAATCGATTCGAGAATATCAAATTGGAGAAAATTGTGTGGACGATTTAGGCTAGAGTTGACCAACCGTGGTGCCATGGTGCAATGTATTGTGGCCTGCGAAAGGTTATTAGTCAAAAGCGAAAGTCCATCGAGCGAAAACATAGCGCGCCTAGCGCACGCGCCTTGTCGGTGTTAACACCCCGTAATGTAAAAAAAGGTCAAGTTAAAATTTAAGAATTTTTTGTAGTAAATTCAGAATATCCCAAAGTGTTTTACTGAGTTATGCAAGAAACGGCGTGATATCACGCGTGGTTCCAATCCGCAATGGTTTCCATCCCTAATACGAGGAGGTGAGGCTTGGATCGCCCGACTACTAAAAATATGGTATGCAACCATATTAAAGGTTTTAATTGAGGCCTTGCAAGTTGGACATCCCAGGTTTAGACGTTAGCCTTGGCGAACAGACGATTTCCTGTCAATCGATTTTTTGTTAACGAGGACTTCGCAAAACGTGAATGTTGACTACAAGTGATGCATTGATAACATTAACATGTAAACATTTTCGAAAATGCTGGTAGCTTTTGCGCAATTTTACGAGAAATTAGACAATTTTCACACAAATATTTTCTCAAAAAGTGCCCTAATTTTTCCTTCTTGTTTATAGTTAAGGACGGGGGGGATGGTAGGCCTACTGGCCCCATTTCCGGCGGAGTGTATTTTCGAAAATTTCAAAAAATTAACGTCGAAAAAATACGATATTAATAATTGGTATTTTTCTTAAATAAAATCTGTCAAAAAATTAGACTTTTCCAAAGAAATATTAGTACATTAAATCTAAATACCGTGATAAAAAAGAAAGAAAAAAACTACATTTTAGTCAGGCGCGGATCCACGTGGGGGGGGGGGGCGGATATTGAGGGAAATCCTCCCCCTCCCAAACACACACACACACAAAATGTTTCAGTGACGTATAAATTTAACTTCTCACGAAACTTTTAAGTAATAAATGATGCTAAAACAGCACGTATTTCCTCGCCAGTGTTTTCACACAATATTACGCGAAACTTACTCAAATTTTCGAAAAAGAAACAAAAACGATGGAGCCTTTTTTTTGTCGAAAATTTGGGACATGTATTTTCGTTGTGTATGCGAAAAGTGTTTTTACGCGGAACATTATATAACTTTCTCTCAACTCCATAAAATTATTGTCGGATAATCATTCAAATGAAAAAATCGTATTGGAGCATGAGCCGAATTAACCTGCGTCATTCTATATAATCTGTAATATGACACATTCGATCATTCTTATTCATTCGATATTCTTTTTTGGACAATAAATGTGCAAACGCTCTCGGGGGCATTTCCCCAGAATATTATTCCTTTTTCAACGTGTGAGTGCACATTTAGAAAATACATTGTCCAAAGTGTCTCAAAGTTAAGAGATTGACCTGAGGGTGTAGAGATCATAGGAAGATTTGGTGAGCTTCTTGTTGATTTGAGCATTCCATTTTAGATTTTCAATTGTGAGACCGAGGAAGGTAGTTTCATGAGATATCGTTACAGGGTTATGAGCAAATGCTGTGAGAGTTTTTCTTTAGATTGGGGATTCATGAAATTTAGAAAGACTGTCTTGCTGGTTCTTCTGATGAGTTTGTTCTTTTGAAACCATTTTACTAATGTGTGCAAGGTTTTTGAGTTTCTTTTTCTAATGATTGATGGGTTTTTAACTTTGATGATTATGTTTGTGTCATCTGCAAACAAAATTATTTTGTTATTCCTTTAAGCCAAAGGCACGTTATTTATGTGTGTAAGGAATATTATTGGCCCAAGGATGAAACCTTGCAAGACTCCACAATTTATCATCTGAGGGCAGGAGTAGTATGAAGAGATTTTGTTTTCTTTAGTTGCTGGAGGGCAACTATTTGACTACTGTTTGATTTGATCCATTGGCCTGCAATGTCTCACATCCGCATTTCTAGTTTTCTTAAAAGTATGTGATGGTCAATAATGTCAAAGGCTTTTGACAATTATAAGAAAAGGCTATTGGAAATTTCCTTCTGATTTAGTGCAACAAGTATGCCACTTGAAAAGAAGAAGACGGCTATGTCTGTGGATTTATAACTCCATGTTATGCATTTGTGAGAACATTATTTGCAATGAGAAACTGTTTGAGTCTATTCTTGAAAAGCTTTTCCAGAATTTTTAAAAATCCTAATAGCAGGGAGATAATGTATCATTTGTCATAATTTTTGCTTGTTTGATTACTTTTTTAGAATCAAATTATACATTTCGTAGTATGAAATGAAGTAGGAGTTACATTTATTACTTGTTAGTATTTTATACATTGCGTTTTCTTTCACATGACTTTGATGCCTTTGGTAATCCACGATTTGGTTTTCTTATTTTGGATCATTTTGAATTTTTGAGGAAAAATGGCATTGAAATGTCTTAAATATATATTTATGAATTAATTAAACTAATAATTTAAATCAGTTACCTTATATACTTCATTCCAATTTTTGAATCTGAGTAAGTTCTGGAATTTTATTATGCTTCCTTTGAAATACTTATGGGTTTCTTGGTAAATTGTCTGTTCCATGATTTCTATTTCTTTTTGAAGTGTTAGAATCTGTGCAGTGTGATCATTGAAACCTGCAGTAAATGTAGCAACAGAAAAATAATGGTTATTTGCATCTATTATTATTTGATATAGCAGTGCTACTATTTTTGGATATTCAGGTTGGTGTATTTATGGTTGTTTGTACATTGTATGATTTTAGTAGGTCTTTAAATAGATTTTCCTTACTGGATGGTGCGAGGCAGTTTATATTGAAGTCACCGCAAATAATTATTTTATACTGCCTTGGTTTCTTTTAACGTTTTGTTAGAATTAATTACATTAATTAAAATATTTGGTTTGTGATTAATTGTTTACAATTTATACATGTAGGTTTGATTGTCACTAACACTATATAGGATATATAATAGAAGGGGGTGAAAAGCAGCAAAAGGCAAAGCAGTAACGCTGGAGCTAGATGATTTGGGGTCCAGGGCAATGATAGCTTCCGCCCCCGCTCCCCCAAAGAAAGCGTGGAACTTAAAGATGTGAATTTGACTGTAATTAACTACTTAAGGGGGTGAAATTGAAAATTTTGTAAAATATCAGAATACTGTACAAAGAGTTATAAAATTACAATAAAGATTTTCTCAAGTTCTGCTTTCTTTTTCAATTTTTCACTAATTTTTTCCCATTAGTCCCATCATTGGGCCTATTGACTTGCCCCAGGCGAACGCCCTGTCTAGGACCGGCACTGCAAAGTAGTTTTATAGAAATACATGTTAGTAAAAAAGTTGCTTACTCAATCTAAAGGAAATTCTAATTTTGGAAATGTTATCATTGATTTATGGGAGGTTTTGCTGCAGAATTGGAGAAATAGCAGATTTGGAAGCATCTCAAGATCTAAATAAAATCTTTTCACTTTTCTTACAATTTTGATTTGAAACACAATCTTACTAAGATAATTTTTTTTGCGTTATTTTCCGATGTGCAATCTGCAACCAAGTTTAGGAAAGTCTGATATTGGCATATTGCAATTACTGTTTTTTCTTCTCTTATTCATTTTCAGACAATTTTTTAACGGGCTTTATCATTAAGAATTGAAACACTCTCTTCAGAATAGTTCGATAGAAAACTACGTTTTACTCTTTCAAATGACTGTTAAAATGACTTTACCAATTCTTTTCAAAGAGAATTACTTTGGTAGTGTTGGATCGATATCTTTCCTGGCACCTAGCCTCTAAAAAGCTTTTGAGTGCGAGGAGGGGTCAGTTCCATTCGTATTCTCATTACCGCAGGCGCCCCTTCCGACAGGTGTGCTGGTTACCATGACAACCCGCGCGTCGCGTCGGAGTCGTCGTGTGAGTAGCGTGAGGTGATCACACGGTCACGGGCAACGGTGGGCGAAGTCTGCTGTAGTGCCCACTCGTTTTATTTAAGTTGTCCCCAAGCGTGTAGCATTTTTTACTTCCGCTTCGACATTTAGTAGGAGCCTTTGGTGCATTTTCTCTGCCTTCCTCGCCCCCCACCAAATCGAGTGATGCATTGTAAGAAGCTGTATTAGAGAGCCAAAGTGTCGGGAGGCGGCTGGGCGCGTGCGTGAGTGAGGGTGCGTGGGTGAGCGTGCGAAGCCTACGAAGTGCGTCGCGTGCGTCTTCATCTCGGAGGAGGAGGAGGAGGAGGAGGTGCGCAGGTCGCGGCGTCGTATGCAGCGCGCGGGCGAGGGCAGCGGGGGCGGAGTCCGGGCGAGGGCTGCGCCGAGGCGCGGGTCGATGCCGGCGCTGGCGGCAGGGCGGAGGCGTCATGTCTGCGCGAAGCGCCACCGATTCGCGCTCGTCGTCGGCGTCGTCTAGCCGGCGCAGTCGCAGTGCGCTGCTGCTCACGCCCCCGCTCAACCTCACGCTGTACGGCGCCCCCGCGCCGCGCGTCGCTCGCCCACCCCAGCAGCAGCAGCAGCAGCAGCGGCGAGTGCGCCAGCGCCGGGCTTCCGGCGAGCTCCGCGCCCGCTCCCCGCCCCCCGCGCCGCGCTCCTCCCCCGCCGTCGGCTGCCGTCTCGGTCTCGAATCTGGCGCCTCCAGCCCCGCGCTTTCCGCCCCGCTGCGGTACCCGCTCAGGGATGCTTATTCGCCGTTCGCTCAGGGAGACAGGTTCAAGAGCGGATACGAAAAGAGACGTTCGAGCAATTCCAGCACTCCTGATTGCTTGAGGTACTCCCCGATGCGAGTCCTTCCTTCGGCGACGCCAGAGCTTGGAGACGATGAGAAGAGCTTACTGGGATATTCAACCAAACGAGAGACCTTTTATTGTGATATTTCAGACACAAAGGAAACAACGCCCTTGTGTACTTCACCGTTTGGGAGAGAAAGTGCCCCCCTCTCTTATGTTTCAAATAAAACTTATGATTACCCTCAGACA